TCCCTCTCAAACCCTGACATCTCAGCTTTCTGAGCGCTGATGTGTCTAAGGGAGGAGAATCAAACCCTCCATTTCATAGATCTTTATTGCACACAGCAGTTGAGGCTTGCCCTATCTACAAATCACCTGAAGCTCCCTGAAGATGACTATGGTCAATACAGTTCCAATTCTCTAGCATAATGGAAATCTCTACCATAAAGGTAAAGCCTGTCTTTGGGAGAGTCCAAGACACTGAAACAAACTCCCCCGCAACCCAAGGACCATCACAAAACTCACCCTCTTCCAGACATGCTTCTCCAAGCTATCTTTTCCAATACACACACAAACAATACATGTGGAATCCTTTTTCTCACTGACCATACCTCCCCCTCCCCCTTTCCCCCCACTCAGCTCCTGGAAGCCCAGGTGCCTGGGAGAAGGAGCTCAGCTATGGGAGTACAAACCCCTGAAGGTCCCCCCCAACCACAAACACCAACAGGAAGGGTAGTGACAGGGGAAAGAGACCAGCCGGCCCCATTACCAAGCTGAAAACAGGAACAAGGAACTTAGTACCTCCACTGACATCCCAGCTAGGAGCTACAGCCAACAGTTCAGAGAAGAAATGGAGCAGGCCACTGAAAGCCACCTTTAGCAGTCAGGACTCATAGTAGAGATGATATCTTTTATTAGACCAATGAGATTTTTGCAAAAAATCTTGTTGGTCTAATGAAAGATATCATCTCTACTACAAGTCCTGATTGCTTTTTCCTCTAGACCAATATGGCTTCAACCTGGATACCTGACCTTTAAGCAGCACACAGGATGTTTCTGCCATCACAGCTGTTCCCTACCTTAGTTATCTGAAGGTTCAGGGCTCCCCATGAATTTAAAGGGAGACCTAGGTCTTTGCAGCTGGAAGGGTTTTGGCAAGAGAAGGGCTGATCCCCTGGGAGTGAGCAAGGATTCCTGGCTGCCAGCCTGACTATGGGAGCTCAGCAGCAAGGACCCGGGCTCTGGGGAGCATTTGCCAGAGGCCACAGGGGAGGAGGGAAGACTCTGCTGGCAAGGTGGGGGCAGCTCCCTGCTCAGAGGAGTGGCTGGTAGCTTGCTCCCCAGGGTGGGTGGTTCTGACCTCATCTGGGACCTGTGGAGCTGCCTGCCACTGCTTTCAGAAGCAAAGCTCCTGTGCTCATCTCCAGCATCAGGAAATGCCACTTGTGTGGCCACACACAAGTCCTCCCTGTTGCACGAGGAGGACAGGGACGAAGCGTGTTGTTCACCACCAGAAGGTGCTGGGCTGTCACTCCGCTGGCTCGATGCCAGGTCCAGCTCCTGCCAGCTGGAGAGCCGAGGTACCAGTAAGTTAGAGCTGGTCCTTTCCTGGTGCTGCTGGGGGAGGCTGCGGATGGCCTGGATTTGCTGCTGAAACCTCAGTTTTGCTGTTGGGGGAAGAGGTGAAAGGATATTGCTGGGTCTGAGCAGGGCACTGCCACTAAAAAAGGTCTAAGCTTCACCTCTTTCCCCTGGGCTCAGCAAGAGAAGCCATCATAGATGAACTAGACTAGAGCCAGTTCCTCCCCTCGTATGTCCCTGGACTGCAAGGATGCCCTGGGCTTGCTCTACGGGGTACGATGAACAGGGAAGCAGGGAGCCTGGCTGGAGCCAAAAAGCGAAGACACTAACAGCCGCTAAATTAATCTCTAAGCTTCAAGGTGTACTACAGCCATCATCCAGGCACAGATTTCTCCCCCAGGTGCGGTGGGAGCGCCTCTGTTAGACGTGTCCTGTGCGGTGTGGCACAGATTCTCAAAGGTATTTAGGCAGCTCCTACTGCAATCAATAGGCATGAAGCACTGAGATGCCTCTGGGGATCTGGGCCTACACCCTTTCCCGCAAAGCATCCAGAAATCAGCTGCTCTCAGAGACAGAGGATGACTGGAGTATTCAGGGGCACGAACAGTCTCAGTGCTGAAGGGCTCTTGCTTCCTGCTAGCACCAGCCAGGACTGAGAGCACTCAACACTTCACAAGATCAGGCCCCAGCCTGCAGAACGGTCCTGAGCTTTCACTCTTCACTGGCTGTTTCTAAATGTTTCCAACTCTCTCCGGTGCTATTGCCCAGTCCTTGCACAGCCGCCCTGCAGGAGGCCGTGAGCTGCCAGGGCTGTGGGAACACAGCCGCCCTACCTTTCATCAGGTTTTCATTCTTCTGCCGCAGCCCCTGAATCTCGGAGGTCATGGCAGAGACCTGAAAACACAAAGCAGCTCTGTTTAGTGACCTCCAGGCCTCCGTCTAGTGGGAGGCTGTGAAGACAGCTGGTTGCTTACAGGGCAGCCAGAGGGGCCAATATGATGGGGAGGGGGGCTGTGTAAGGGGATGCCCTGAGCATGCGTGGGTGGGTGGGTGAGTGGATGGAGGGGTGAGATGGGCTCCTGCAGGGGTCTGGGTGAGGGTTCACAGGGCCCTTGGCTTCTTTGCTCTGAGATGAAGAAAAAGCCTTTTACTGCATGGATTTGCCTCAAACCTGCCCCTTCCCAGTGACATATCCCATGATGCACTTGGTCATAGATCATGGAGGCACCAATACCAACACCAGCCCCTGCCTGCCCTGCTCCTGGCTTTAGAGAGCTGAATTTCCAGCTCTTCCCCAGCATCCCTCCCTGAGCCACGGGCCACTCCTTGCAGCAAGATGCCTGCAGCGGTACCGTTTCTGTTTTCTCTTGCAGTTGCTGCCTGAGGCTTTGGGCATCTTCAGTGCTGCCAGGGAGGCCCATGTCTCCTGCCTGCTTTTCCTTCAGCTCCTCCTTGGGTTTCTTGGTGTCTCCTCTCACATCCTGTAGGAGCCAGATGAGACCAAAATCAGGATTGCTTTTGTGGTAGATACTAGGACTAGGACATAGAGGGTTCCTGGGAAAGGACACTGCAGTGATTTTAGTGCCACCAGGCTGCTAATTCCACCGCCTTCCACATTCACTCACTGCCTGTGTTCCTCTTGCTGCAAAGCTGCTCTGCAGGAAACCATCAGCCATGTCCAGTGCCATTCTGGGGGAACTGGGGCAATGCACCTGGGTGGGCAATGGAAAGGCTATTCTTACCTCTTGAGATATCCTAGCCCACTGCTCTGCTGAGTTCCCGGCCTTCTGTCTTCCTGGCAGCTTCCTGCAGCCTGATGGTAGGTGTTGTCTCTGCTTGAACAGGCCCTTGAGCTGTTGGAGAAGCCGAGTCAATTTGAGGAGCTCTCCCAAACCTAAACTGGCTCTCCCTCAGCTGTGAGAGGCCCTGGATTGTAATGTTACAATCTGCATCCCCTGCCAGGTCTTCAAGGGCCTTGCCTTTCCCCAGCTTGTAGTGACACATCCCAGTCCCTCCCAATGGGGATCTAGTGGCTCAAGTCACTGCAATCTTTTCCATCTGCCCCAGACATCAGAAGCTCCTCACTTGGGGTTCTGGCCAACTCCTTGCCCGTCCTCCCACACACAAAGGTACTGGTGTCAGAGCTCACGCCTACGTGCCTGCTCTGAAAGTGAGATCCTCCTTGTGACAGCTCCCTGTCCCCAGAGACTGCCTATCCTCTCCAGAGAGGCATGAAGAACAGGATGAGTCAGAGAGACGGAGACAGAACTGAGTGCATGCAGTGTTACCTGCTCGGTCACCAGCTGATGCTGCTGTTTCAGGCGCTGAACCTCTGCTTGGGGGTTCTTCGTGACATGTCCATCCAGGCGTTGACTCACGCCCTGTGGAAAAACTAACCCATGTGGGCAAGAAAGATCTGCAGTAGGACAGGAAAACACCCCAGTTCCTTCACCTCACTGAAGGACTAATCCGAAACCCACTGATGTCAATGGAAAGATACTGTCTAACACAGAGGTGTCAGAAATCTGGCCTGCAGGGCTTCTCTTTGGCTGGATGACCCACCTCTGGATCTGGCCCATGGGGGCTTCTCATCATGGCTCCAAAAAAGTGCCAGAGCAGTCAGCATCTGCGAGGTTAATGCCACTCCCCTTGCTTACTTGCCATAGATAGCAGCAGTTTTAACTCTGGCAACTGGCATTCATGGTGAAACAACTCACAGACTGGATCTAGACATCCAGCCTGAGAGAAGCCCCACAGTCCAGACAGGTCTGCCAGTTCAAATGAGTTTGACACTCCTGGTCTAACACATCGACTGTTTCTTTGTAAAGCTTTCCCCACTTGCCACAGTGAAAGAGCTCTTTGCTTTTGCTTTTGGGTGTCTACCCCCAGACTCTTCTCCTGCCACTGGCCCATACCGTCACTCTTCCCCCCGTCTAATGTCCCAAGACTTCCACAAAGGCATTCTTATTCTTTCTTTTGGACACCCACAGGAACACCAGGCAAAAGGTGTAACAGCCAACATCAAACCTACTGGGTCAACTACAGGCCTGGTGTAAGCAAAGGTAACTCCGCAGGAGTCAAAGGCATCAGGTCAGAATGGGGCACATTCAGGTGTCTGTCCACTGTGTTTGCCTCAAGCTGACAACCTCACCGGAGGATGGCTGTAGCTCAATGTTCTCAACCCGTGGGTTGTGACCCAAAAGTGGGTCTCAAAGATATATGAAAGGGTCACAGACAAACTTTAAAAATGGATCTATGGGCTTTAAAAATGGATTCTCCTTTAAAGGAGAAAAGTGTGGGAAACAGTGGCTTTTCCCTTGCAGGCTGGCAGAGCTCCAGCCTGCAAGGGGCTACTTGGGGCCCCCCCATGCCCCACACGCCCACCCCTTGCCCCACACACTGGGGCCTGGGGGAGGGGGGATAGTGGGTCAGGAGTGAGAGACACTGGGTCAGGACTGGCCATCCATGTTTACAAATGGGTCCTGGTACAAAAAAGGTTAAGAACCACTGCTATAGCTGACTGGCTCTCTCTGTTTAACCTATTTTAAGTACCCGTCACTCTACTTCCCAACCTTTGATGTGCTTCCTGGGTGCTGCAACAACACTGCTATCCCTTGTGTATAGTGACTGTACAGAAGCCTGGGTTTTTTTAAGGTATTTAGGCCTCATCATGCTTAGCACAGTAAGACCTAAGAGCTAGACCCCCAAAGGTACTGAGGTGCTTAAATCCCACTGGAATCAAAGGCAATTAGGGAACGAAGTACCTTCAAAATCTGGCCCCAAGTGATTTAGTGGCCTAAGTCTTATTGAAAGACTATGAGGTAACAGAAGGATCAGTGTCTAAATCACTTTTGAAAGTGAGACTTAAGATCCTAAATCACTTAGGAGTAGCAACACTGTGTGAAGCCATGTTTAATGCCTTTAAAACCCAGGTCAGAGGAACCAAAGATCAAGGTTCCAAAAATATACTCTGGTATCTAAACATGCAGGCAGGTTGTTAAAAATCCCTCTCACAGTGCTTCTCTGCACTTTTTTAGGACCTAAATACTTCCAGAAAGCTGGCTTGAGGGCCCACATCCTACACTGTAAGTAGGTACCTAACTCCCATAAAAATCCCGGGGAGTTAGGCACCAAAGTACCTTGGAGGATCTGGACTTAAGTGACTTGATGAAGGTATTATAGGGAGTCTGTGGCAGAGGAGTGAACTGCATTGGTTCTCCCAAAGCCCAGAGTTGTTTCCTCTCTATCAAATGGCCCTTCCCTCTGCTTCATGCTCTGCTGTTCTCTCTTTCTGTTCCATCAGCACTAAAACGTCAGCTTATGTCATGAACTCAGGTGGATATGGAAACCAAGCTGATATCCTTGTTGCATTCAGAGGGGATAAAGCTCTCTGGAGAAGGGAGCAGATTTTTGTCCATGTCTGCTGCACCAGGAGCTACAGTGGGCACATCTATACATTCATTAACGCACCTTAGTTACTGCACATTTAGTTTAGTGCCTTTAATAAGAGGTACTAACTGAATGCGCAGTAACTAGAGTTACTGCACAGTAGCACCAGTGCAGGGTTTTTTAGTGACACTGCGCATTAGCCTAATAACACTGCGCACTAGGCTATTAGCATGCTTAATAACTGCTACCCTACTGCACAGTATTATTAGGCTAATGCACAATAAGTCTCATGTAGACGCACTCCCTGGGCACAGATTCTCTTTTGTGTCAGTGCAGTGCCCAACACAGTCAGCTCCAATTCTGGTTGGGGCCTACAGCAGAGCCATAATGCATATCAGAAACAAGCCGCTAGCTTTCTGGATACAAGATCACATACATAGCTAGGCCCATGGTTTCCCTGCACAAGGGGTGTCAAACTGATAGCATGGGTTTCTAAACAGCCTCCCAACACATCCTATTCAGCCATAGTAAGATCCACAGTGCCTATTAGAGGGCTACCAGCTGCAGGTCACATAGAGTGGACTTTCAGCCTCTCCAAACAGTCCCCTCCCCATAACTGTCCTCCTAGCAACATTACCTTCTTCTGGGAGCCCTTGGGCACCAGAGCTGAGGCAGGTACAGGACCAGAAAGAGTTAGGGAGTCCTCTAGTGGACACCAATACCCATCACTGTGCCAGGCTCTCTCCTGGAGCCTTTGCTGTCTTTGCCAGAGAGGCTGACCTCAGCTCACTCACCTTGAGGAGTTCCCGAAGCTCACACAGGTAGGTGAAAGCCTGGTCCTTGTCCTCCTCAATATTCCTTCCTTTGTCCATGCAGCCTGGAGGCAAACCATACATTGAAAGCAGAAAAGCGACAGAGAAAACATTGTAGCAGCAATCAATGCTGAATTGAGTCCCATGCACCCACACATGTACATATACACACATACATGAACATACATGTGCGCATACACACACACACACATACTTGCTCCCAAAACAGCAGGCAACTAGCCACTGTCCTCAAAGCAGTCATTAGACACAACATGCTCGGATTTAAGCCTATCGATGCAGAGAGCAGGTAGGAACTACTGAAGTGACAAAAATCCAAACTTCAAAGGAAATTAGACTGGGGGTGGCAGGGGGGTGGAAATCATGTGTTGGGAAGGTGGGGAGAGTAGACTGGTGGGTTATTGACAATGAACACTATAACAAGGGACTCAGGAGTATCTGTGAGTCTCCTGGGCCTTCTATAAGGGACTCCAAGCATTCTGCACACCCAGAGGAGATGAACTTCTAACCCCCCTGGCATTCGTAGGTTCATTACTTCACAGGCCAAGTGCAGTGACAAATCTGAGGAGGAGGAGGAAGTCTTACTTTGGATCATCTTGTCCAGCTGGTCCAGAAGGGAATCACAGCGAGAGCATTTCCCTTGGCAGCGGCTGTCACGACTCTGCCCAGGGGACCTGTTCTGCACTGCCGGCGAGACAGGAGCCTGACCAAGGTGTGGGGTGCTGTCTCTCAGGACCTCCATTTCAGCCAGCTAGGAAGGACATAAAGGGGGTGTTAGAGGAGAGTGTTTCAGTGTGTGGCCTGCTCCCTGCCACAATCTGTGCATAGGCCTCTCTTCAAGACATCTGTGATTTGCCTCTTAATTACTGTACAGCTGCAGGGCTTTGGGGCTGCAGATAGGAGCCTTCTCTCCCTGGGCCAAATCCAACCTGGGCAGCAGCAGTATCAGGCTCCCACACACCGTTCTACACATGTGCCTCTACCTTGTGCTGAGGGAGGGTGCGTGGGGAGTTGGATGTGCGTTGTTTTGATGCTTGCCTTCTCTGCTGGGGCTACCAGCAAAGGATTCGTCATTGCTACTGTGCCCACGGGTGTCATAACACGGACACCTCCAACCACCTGCAGCCTGGATTTGAACTGGGAGCACAGGGATGAAAGCCTTTACAGCATATCTCAATGCATGAGCAGACTAACTATTTACCACAGGGCAAGAAGGGGAAGGGATTTTACCACACAGATTGTCCTGTGGTAACTGGCCACATGCATGCTCTTACCCCTTGGTAGGTGGAAGATAATCCCTGATAACTTTGATTGAAGGTGAACTTACTTACCATGGTCTAGAAGGTCTGGGACAGACATTGCATAAACCAGTTTGACCCAAATCAGTTAACTCTGATACTACATTCAACCAGGTTTATCTCAAACCAGTTTCAGATATTTTCAAACTAGTTTATATGCACTGAACATCTGTTCTGTTACAGGTTTAAACCAGTTTCTGATGGCTTAAACTGATCTGGTAAGGGGGCTCCAGGTCCTTGACCACCTGGGTGATAGCGATCATTGCTTGCTGGAATTCATCATCCGGCGCAGGGTGTCAAGGGCCTGCAGTAAGGCGGTAGCCCTAGACTTCAAGAGGGCCAACTTCAATGAGTTGAGGAGATTGGTGGGAGAGGCGCTGGGGTTCTCGAGGGCAGGGGAACTCAGTGCCCAAGATGAGTGGTCGTTCCTTAAGGAGACGATACTCTGGGTCCAAGGGTGACAAGAAGCAAGGGGGGCAAGAGTGCCCAAAAGCCCCCCTGGCTCACCAAGGACGTCCGGGAATGCCTGGTTGCCAAAAAGGCAGCGTACACCCGGTGGAAGGGGGGGCTAATCTCCAAAGAAGAGTATACCTCCACTGCTCGGGCCTGTAGGGGGGCTGTTAGGAAAACTAAGGCGGACATAGAGCTAGGACTAGCGTCCAAGATCAAGGATAATAAAAAGTCTTTTTTCAAATATATAGGGAGGATGAAGAAGGCACCGGGAAACGTGGGGCCCCTGCAAGATATGCTGGGCAATCTGGTGGTTGCACCAAAGGAGAAGGCAGACCTCTTCAACAAATTCTTCACCTCCGTTTTCTTGTGCAAGGAGCGGGACTCCCCCACCGTGATTCAAGACGGGCTTGAGGGGAACGCGTCCAGGCCTAAGGTTGAGGAGGACCGGGTTAGAGTGCTTCTGGACGGGCTGGACGTGTTCAAGTCAGCAGGTCCAGATGCTCTCCACCCCAGGGTGTTGAGG